ATCTTGATTCTTTGCTAAAAACACCAGCACTTGTTGCAGTACAAATATATGCACCAAAATCTGTTGTCGTAAAATCTATGAGGATCAAAGAACCATCTCTTACTTCATGCCTGCCAATAGGAAGAACGCCATTTTCTCTTCTCCATGTTATGACTGGTTTAGGCTCTCCTGTAGCTTTACAATTGAGACGAACAGTTTTTCCAGGAAGGGTGACAAGTGATGTAGGTGGTTTTATAGTAAATCTTGGCAGCTCGACAACAATAAGAAACGTTCCTTTTGTAGCTGAGCCAAGAAGATTTTCAGCTTTACACAAATATGTCCCAGAATCTTCTTTGTTTGCTCTAAAGAGTGTCATCTGTCCATCTGTAATGACGCTTCGGCTGATATTCAACGAACCAGTAGACTTTGACAACGTGATCTTTGGTTTTGGATGTCCTGTCACGTGACATTTTGGCATAACAATGTCCGTACCTATCTTTTCATATACTGGTCCACTGATCAAGGTCACTCGAGGTCGAGAGTTCACTTCAATTGTCGATTTGCTGTGTTTGTTACCAAGAATGTTAAAAGCTTTGCATACATATGTTCCTGTATCAGATGAAGTGACTTGCTTCAGTTCAAGTTTCCCTTTGCTGTCAACTGAAAATCTTCCTTTCGGTAGTGAACCGTTTTCTTTACTCCAAACTACAGCAGGTCGTGGATAACCGATAGCAGAACAATGCAAAATGGCCGTTTGACTTTCATTGACAACCAAATGCGAGGGCGAAATGATTACTGATGGCGGTGCTAGGGAAGGACCAGGATCCCCCTTCAGTCCCGGCATGCCTCGGGGACCAGGAATTCCAGGAAGTCCAAAATCTCCCATGTCACCTGCCAAACCTCGCGGTCCTCGTTTTCCTCTTCTTCCAAGCTTTCCTCTTGGTCCACGTGGTCCTTTTGTCCCTACATCACCTTTCTGTCCTTTCTCCCCTTGTGGACCGGGAGGGCCTGGAATAGGAATCCAGTATCTCGCAGATTGTAGCTTTGACACGGCTTTACCAACCTCTTGATGAATGGTTTTTGTGAGTTGTTCTTTAAGCGACTGTTTTGTGGTGTTCAATATTGGTAAATTATCAGCTCGAATGTTTCGTTTCGATATTTTGTGAGTCACTTCCGGGTCAGTTTCTCGTTCATCCTTCGGTTTGTTTGCTGAGAAATTGTCAACATGTTTCGAGTTCCTCTTTAAGTAAATAACCTCTCTTTCTAATTTCTTTATACTTGAGGTTTGAGCATATAGCATTAACTTCATATTCACAAATTCTTGTTTATATTTAGAAGAATCCTTGTCGTCAATACTTGCGTAATTCCTGTCACGTTGTGTTGAGGTTGTTAACTTCTCAAATTCATCAAGCCGATTCGTTTGCCTTTTTAAGACGAYCTCAATRCGCACAAATTCTCCAAAACACAAAAGCAGCATCGCTAGTGAAGCCACGATGGTGAACGCTGATGAAGAGCGCGTAGTAGCGACTTTTTTCACCATTCTTGGAGGCAAAACGAACGTCCAGATTATGCTTGCACGACTTTAGATATTAAATGCGTAACGGATAGGAATAGACAAGAATTGTAAACCTATATTTTAGGGTCACTGGTTTAATGACTATGGTATGATCACAAGCTAGCACTAGTAATAATAGCTAGGAAGTAGGATATTTATCAAATACGCCGCGGCTTTTGTGAATGCTTTTTATGTAGAAACATGACATTATATATATTATCAGTCGATGGATGTACATCTAATTGCAACAACAACAAAAACAACAATACAAAACAACAATAACAAAAGAACATTAACAACAACCACAAAACAATATTAACATCAACAACAATAAAACAAAACAATAACACAACAAAACAACAAAACAACAACAAAGCAAGAGCAACAACAAAACATAAAAACAACAACAACAAAACAAAACAACAACAATAACAAAAGAACAACAACATCAACGGCACCACCACCAACAAAACAAAAACAAAAACAACAAATCAATGTAAACAACAAAAATATTACATCAACAAAACAACAATAACAAGAAAAAAACAACATCACCACCAACAAAAAAGGTTGTCCCAGATGAGAACTTGAATAAAATGCATGCAGATTGAGCGATCATCTTTTCTCTTCTTACATTGTATTATTTATGATCTATGACGTATTTTTTTACCAGTTTCAGCAGTTTAATTGAAATATATATAACAATTTTAATAAATAAGACGACAATTTTGAGTCTATATCAAGACATGTTTCGTTATTGTTTTTATCATAATAACAACGACAACCACTACGTGGAACACACTGTGTACGGGTTACGTTAAAGCGGCATTTACACGAGCAATTTTTCCATGACAAGGAAAAGCCAACATGTTGAATTTCCCTGACAAGGAAAAATTGAACAACAACAACAACAACAAAAAACCATCAAGAACAACACCAACAACAACAAAAAATAATACATCAGCAAAACAACAATATCAAGAAAAAAACAATAAACAAACAAAAAAAACAAGAAAAAAATAGCCAACAAAAAAAGTTGTCCCGGAAAAAGAACTTGAATGAAATACATGCAGCTTGAGTGACCATCTTTTGTCTTATTACATTGTATTATTTATGGACCGGCATTTTTTACTTGTTTCCCCATCAAATTGAAAGATATATAAGAATTTTGAATAACGAGGGATTTGAGTTTATATTAAGATA